TATAATGGCCAAAAATATTACATAAATGTTATTAACAATTTGTTTTCATTATTTAATCACTAAATGACAGTGACCAATGACCAACGTTTCTTTGAGCATGTACACAGTAAAAGCTTATACTTATATATTATTTCAGCATATATGCAATGGAATAACATTTAATTTGTCACAATAACAACAATGAAGGATCAGAATTTTGTTTTCTTTCAGACCATTGTCAATTAAAATGAGATAGTTTGCTTAGTTTCACTACCTTGGCCTAACCTACCTGACATTCTGGAATGTCCCTTTGTATGTTTTATTGAAAGCACCTTGGATCTGTCACTTCTTCTCCTCTTCAGTTATGTGGGCCGTAAGCGCCTGCAGGTGAAGGAGCCGGAGCGCAGGGAGTGGGAGACCTGGTGCACCCAGACTACTCCTACTGGACCCTGGGATACGTCCTGTCACTGAGGGGCCCGCAAGCTCCTCCAGGCGAGGCCCCTGAACAAAATGCTGCCTGTGGATGAGTTCCTGCCTATCATGTTCAACAAGCACCCCAAGTGAGTGTCACCCAGTGTACGCATTTTCAAATGATAATGCCTTCAGAACTAGGGATGAATGGAGTCTTCGGTGTGCGAAAAAAAGAAAAAGAAATCCGTAAAAAGGTGATCAAATAAATGTTGAAATATGAAGGGTAAAGGATAAAGGAATACAAAAATGTAGAAAAAACGAAGTAAAACAAATAATTATTTAAAGCATTTTCATATATTTTGTTATTTATTTTTTTCGAAATGTATATATCTGTGTATATAAAAATCATATAAAGTACCCTTTTGTTTACATATTTTTCATACTTGATAATTTTTCCTCTTCAATCAATCAATGTTTATTTATATAGCCCAATATCACAAATGTTACATTTGTCTCAGTGGACTTCACAGTTTGTACAGAATATCAGTATGACAATACGACACCCTCTGTCCTTAGACCCTCACATCGTACAAGGAAAAACTTCCGGAGAAAACCCACAGTTTAAAGGGGAACATGGGAGAAACCTCAGGGAGAGCAACAGAGGAGGGATCCCTCTCCCAGGACGGACAGACGTGCAATAGATGCCGTGTGTAAATCGAAAAGATAATACATTTACAACATAGGTAGTCCAAATGTTTGGAAATGCATGTGTCTGTAATAAGAGGATGAATCCATGAGGATGTCAACAATCCTGTGGGAGCCATCAGGGAAGTAGTATGATGAGAGTCAGGCAGGACCACAGAGACAGGTTCAGCCACGACTCGAAGTCCAGGACTTAAATCCAGAACTCAGAGGATCCAGGACACAGGACTCATGATCCAGTACTCCGGATCCAGGACACATGATTCAGGATCCAGGACACAGGACCACAGCAACAGGATCAGCCACGACTCAGGATCCTGGCGTAGATAGACACCAAAAAGAAATTTGGGGGAAGCTGGGTTATTCGGAACATGAGTACACAGGTACAGACAGAGAGAAGGAAGAAGTAAGATGTCCCTCGACAGTCTAAGCCTATAGCAGCAAAACTAACGTGTCTACGTACATGGACTCCCTTAGGATAGGTTGAGGGAAAGGGTTAGCAAGTAAGCAGTAAGGAACAGAGGTGGAGAGAGAGGCACAACGTGTCTACATACATGCACTCCCTTAGGATAGGTTGAGGGAAAGGGGTAGCAAGTAAGAAGTAAGGAACAGAGGTGGAGAGGCACAACGTGTGTATGACCTGCAGGCGTGCAGAGAGAAAATGGAAGAAAGATAAACTCCATGTCTCCCTAGAAATCCTTCGTGCTTGCCTATCCAACTACCAGACGGCAGTCAAATCAGCCAAAACAGAGCACATTACTGATCCTGCTCCTTTTCTGTGCCCTGCTGTCCTCGACCACTTTGAGCCTGTATCCCTCTCTTCTCTCTCGGATGTAGTCAAGCACCTGCGGCCGACAAACTGCCCCTCAGACAGCATTCCCTCTCGCCTTCTCAGATATGTTTTCAAATCAGTTGGAGCAAGTATTTTATTACTCATAAACACCTCTCTTAGCTCAGGATGTGTCCCAGCTGCCTTCAAACATGCCGTGGTCAAGCCACTACTTACAGTAAAAAGAAAAATCTCGACCCCTCCATTCTCGCACATTTTAGGCCCATCTCCCAGCTACCTTTTTTATCTAAAGCCCTGGAGCGAGTAGTCTAGGTCCAGCTGCAATCGTTCTTAACCATGCATGGCATCCATGAAAAGTTTCAGTCTGGCTTCAAACCCATGCACAGCACTGAAACAGCCCTTTTAAGAATTTTTAATGATCTGCTCCTAGCCGCCGACTCAGGTAGCCCAGCTGTCTTGGTGCTGTTAGACCTGACTGCTGCCTTTGACACTGTGGACCATAGCATCCTGTTGTTGCGGCTCGAACAGTCCGCTGGCATCACAGGCTCTGCCCTTGCATGGTTCAGGTCCTATCTGCCAATGCCCCTCTTACCTGTGGGGTTCCCCAAGGCTCTATCCTAGGCCCCATCCTCTTTTTACTGTACATACTGCCCCTAGGTTCAATTCTCACTAAACACAATATTCCCTTCCACTGCTACGCCGATGATGCCTATCTGCCTCTCAAAGCAAATGGCAAACACTCACTACAGCAGTTGATGGACTGCTTAACAGAGATCAAATCCTGGCTGTGCCAACATTTCCTTAACCTCAACGAGAGCAAGACTGAGGTAATCTTTTTTGGACCCCAACCTCTCCGGTTGATATTCTGGGCTCTCTCAATGAAAACATCCTCCCCTCTGTCCTGAACCTTGGAGTGACCTTCACTAGCACTTTTAAATTCGAAAAACTTCCTTCAACAGCTTAGTTGGAATTGGGTCTAACATACACGTTGATGGTTTAGAAGAGAGAATCATTGAATTTAATTGTTCAAGGTTTATGGCTGAAAAGCGTTCTAGTTTACTATCTAGTGTAATATTAGAACTTACGTTTCCGGGAGCTGTTGATAACACTATACTGGTCAAAGGCAAGAGGTCATTAATTTTGTTTCTAAGAGTAACAATTTTATCGTTAAAAAAGCACATAAAATCATTACTACTGAGTGCTATGGGAATAGAAGGCTCAATCGAGCTGTGGCTCTCTGTCAGCCTGGCTACAGTGCTGAAAAGAAATCTTGCATTATTCTTATTCTCATCTATTAATGAAGAGTAGTAGGCTGCTCTCGCTTTACGCAGTGCTTTCTTATATTCATTGAGAGTAATATGCCAAATTAAAAGAGATTCTTCAAGTTTAGTGGAACGCCATATCCTTTCAAGTTGTCTCGACTCTTGCTTTATTTTGCGGGTTTCGGCATTATGCCATGGAGCTAATCTATGTTGTTTTATTTTCTTCTTTTTCAAAGGAGCAACAGAGTCTATTTTTATTTGCAGGGCATCTGTAGCACCATCAACAACATGATCAATTTGGGGTGGTGTACATTTTGTATAAGTTTCCTCCCTTACATGCAGGCATGCTCTTGATTTTGTATTTATTCTTTTCCTTATTTTCACTTTCCCTATTGCTTTTGTTTGTTAGGGAATAGATATACCGTGATACGGAAAAGCACAAACAGTGGGTAGATTATTCTAAGGAATAGACACATTTGGATTGTTTTTCTTATATGAGAAAATGTATATTTTCTTTATACTTCCAATTTTTTTTCAATTATTTATTCCTTTTACTTTCTTATTCTTTTACCAATGTTTTCCTTTCAATGGCACTCCTAGGACTCCGTAGTTAGAGCTTTTTGTATTCAGCTAAAGCAATGTTGTCCCCTCCCTGCCCTTTCAGAGACGAGTACCTGCAGTATTACGAGCCGAGAGACCTGAGAGCGTTCTCAGTGGAGCCCCTGCTGCTGTTCCCCACACACTACACCGGAGAACCGGGGTACTTCAGCGACACTGAGACCTCCAGCATCTGGGACGATGAGGCTGTGAGGACAGACTGGGACACTCAGGACGGAGCATTTCCTCCTGCGGCCCCCCACTCAGCTCGGGGGGCCGCGCCTCCTCTCTCTGCCAGTGGAAACAGAGATGAACTCTGAGGGGGACTGAGGTCCAACACCCTGGTCAGTATATCATCCTCAGAGGGGGCACCAGGTAGCAACCAGGCGCCTATTAAGATATATTCCTTCACCTTTTCTGTGCAATGTGTAACATTTCTGTAAAACAAAACAGATTTCTGTGTTCATTTGAGAAAACGTATTGATAAATATAAATAGTTAAGGTATAAAAACTACATTTGAGTACAAATATATTCTTAGACCCACCCTAATCATCTAAGCTGATATTAAGCTTCAGTGGTAGATATTCCAACAAACTCCGAATTAAATGAGCACAAACCAGATAAGAAGCTGTAAGTTTGGAACCTTTAAAGGGAATGTGTGCCCACATGAGGGCCAAAAGGGGGTCCAGCCCTAATATAATGGGGGCACTACCTCTTGGCTTCCCTAGAATTGAGCTTAGCACTTCGGGATTTGACTTCAAATATGAAGTGCGTTACAAATGAAACCCATAATTATTATTATTATCTTGAAAATATTTCTTGTTTAAATGGGATACGTTTGTATGATATTTAAACAAAAAAAACATTTTTGACTTATAAGCCTAATAATCGTCTAGATTTGTGAATTAACTATAAATATGTGGTAATAAAGACAAAGGTTACATGAAGAAAATAAAATAGTTTAGTTTGCATTGATAACAAAAATAATATTTTGTTGTAACATAGAAAGGATCTTTATAAACTTTTGATATTGTCATGGTGGTAGGAATACAGAAATATAATATATGAACCTCAATAATAAGGCTAGGACTTTAATGAAAATAATACAGCCAATGTTGCCACTTGGACACCCACATTAAATGTTAAAACACTCAAATACAATTTCTGTCCAAATGTTACAGCTGACAGTTATTCTTTAATAAATAAATATGCTTATAGTCCAACTGTACAGACAAAAACAGAAACAGACAAGACAGCATTCAACTTAAGGATTTTAATTCTTAAAAAAGCACTGGTATTTTCATGTCAAGCAAACAATGGAACCACTTAATATTAGTTTTGTTCCATATCACAAAATGTGTTATGAAAAGAATAATTAAATCACACAAATTATACATTTTCTTTTTTTTGGAATAAATTAATCAGCATAACAAAAGAAAAAAAACATGCTTGTACTTAGGTGTTGCACAGGAAATATTGAAGGTCCAATGCTCAAAATTGAAGACACCTGAGAATATAAATATCAAAACAGCTTGTTTCAGCAATTATTTAGTTCCACAGTTCCCCCTTAACTAAAGCTTTGATAAGAGGATTATTAAAAAATTACATTTATGTAAAAATTAGGCATCAATTTAAAAAAACATCCATTTCTGTACAATGTGCATATCTGAATTAGTGTGGTGACGAGGAATTTGTCGTTATACGCAAAAATTCAACTCAAACGTTCATCTGTCATCAAGCCACATTCAGCGATATGAACATATAGATTTGGACCGCGCTCTTTTAATTAAATTCTGCATTGAAGTCAACATGTATCTTTCTTTACTTACTAAACACCCCTTTAAGAGTTTTTTCCCTAGACAACCAGGGGCTGGATTTATCCCAGAGATTCATTTTTGCTACTGTCCATTAACAACAGAAATTGAGGCAGGAAAAAGGAAATTCTGCTGCACAGGTAGTAGTGATGTTGCATATAAAGACATAAGTACGGTGGCCAACAGGTGCAAATGCTGCATTAGGATAAACGTGCCTCATTTTCAAATATAACACTAATATGCCAAAACATATGCAAAGGAAGAAAAACATCTTCTCCTACATAAAACATGGGCAGGGTTCACTTGCTGCAAGAAGCTCAAAACACAAAGAAAGCAGGGACACAAAAAAGTGCTTGATGACGTTCGGCGATATTTCAAGTTGCCAACCGTCACACTCGCTGAGTTAGTCAAATTTGAAAATATTTTGTAAGCATGCTAGCTAGCTTGCAGCGGATCTGCAATCATATCGGAAGGAATCATGTGATCACATTGTTAAAATAGGCCAATAAAACTTGAATTTAAAAAGGTACGTTTCCAGTGACTTTTGGCCAACTGCATAATGCGTGACCGACAACAAGAGCTGTGGTCCCACCTGTGTGCATCACTATTTAGTGTTCCCATTTCTGTTATGTTTTAACTTCTTGCAGCATTTTGTTTCAAGCACTTTTAGTAAATATTTTCTAAATGCTGCACGTGCTGTCAAGTTTTTGAAGGGGTTTCTTCATTTGCATGTGTTTTGGCACTTTTGTGTTTTTAAGTTTGCATCGTTTTAGGAACTGTTGGCCACCATAGGTAAGGACATAGGGTACATAGCAGACCATCTAGCTGATTAAACTTCTGAAATCCAAGGCTTTAAAAGGAATTTCTGAAAGACAGGATGGATGGATTTTGTAAAGAAAAAGAGTATCTGTGAGGTATGTATGTGGTATATAGCTTTGTGAGAAGACGCTCCCATCTGTGAGGGGTGATGGAAGCTCATATTTCCATTTTGAAGGCTTTAAAAAACGAGTATATGGTGTGTTCCTTTGTTAAAACAGTCCGTATGTTCGTGGTTACTGCCAGCAGCAACCAAAAACTATCAACAGATCAAACCTCTGGAGGAGGAATGTGTACGAAATGTTCCCATGAGATCAACAGTGAGATGGTTTGACGTGTGAACGCGGAAGACAGATCAGGAAGCACAAATGAAGGGTGTGAGATATAGAAAAAAAAAAAATCCACAACAAGAGATGGCCACGATGACTAAAGCAAACATTACAAAAGAACGAAAAACTAAATAGAAACCACTTCTTGCATCACGTTTTTTTTCTAAAGACCTGGACAAAAAGGCAGTTTTACAAACCATTGGTTATCAACACATGAGCATGGTCCCACAGTGCTTGCTTGTAGAAGCATAGCAACAGTGCAAGCCATGACACAATTCAGCCCAAATACACCTGTAAGAAAAAAGTGCCATATTGCATAACGAGTATCTGTGATGAGGGCATACATATACCTGTACAATGATTCGACTGTAAACATGGTGCAAAGTAGTTATGACATAGTTTAAGGCTTTAAGTGTTGTTCACTGAGATCAAAAGGAATATGTCCATGAGCTGGACAGACAGTGTGAAAACAAAAAGAAAAGCTTCACCCTCTTTACTCAGACCTGGATATTGTGTGTACTCTGATAGATTTGATTATTTGATGGCTTGCTCATGAATGTTATTATTCCTGAAACACAAGGATTGTTGACTTCCTTTTTTGGCATATAGGAATATTTAGGTGCTGGTTCACTTAAATTCACTGAACATTTTTTTTATTTTTTTTTTTTATCACAGTGGACATTTTGACTTGTGAAAAACAGGTGTAACGAATAACATTGTGGAATGGCTGCATCCCGTTAACAGAGGTTGGCTGGTTCAAAGACACACCAATATGGAATAGAGCCACCATTTGCTTATACTGAGCTACTTCTACCAAGAAGGTTTTCAAATCAGTTTTTCTGTCAGCGGGAATAAGGACAAACTAGTAGGCGAGTTTCATTGAACGTGGTGGAAGGGTGTAGCTAGAATAGGCCAAAAACCCATTACATGTTTTGGGGGCTGATCCAAAAGTTATGTTTTAGAATCATTAACAATTTGAGATTGAGAAACGCTCGTTTCCACCGTACACCGTAAAGCTTAACACAACGAATTCAACAAGAAAAGTGTCAGACTCAACTAATGGTACCCCCAAGAAGCATGTGAATGCACCATTGGCCTTGGCAGAGGTCACCCCGACTGCCATTCTTGATTATATTGGTTGCACCTGTGCTTTTATTTGTTTTGACAAGTCAAAATGAGTGTAAATCAATAAAGGCCAAATGGTATAGTGTGGTGCTGGAGTGAGTCCAACTCCCGGAAATGAATTAGCATATTACCAATTGGTCTTCTCTCGTCTCGAAGCCAATGTTTTTTTGAAGCTGTTTTTAGTTAGATGCCTGAAATAAATTCTATGGTTATCACAAACTTAAAATATGTCAGTAAATACCCCACTGGTGAATGTCCAAAGCTTTTTTGTGTCATGTAAACAGCAGTTGCTAACAAGTGGCTTAATGAGACTACTCAATGTCATCACGCTGAACATTAGCCGCCCTAGCTTAGCAGCGGTGATGCATTGTCATGTATTGGCTTAACGTTAGCTTTTTACTTCTGGCGATTACATTTACGTGTAATATGTGGATATAATCCTGCTGAACCAAATGTGTAAGTATCATAAACATGTGTTGGCCAGAGATCTCATTTTCTGCAATATTTTGAAAACCAATAGGAAAATCCCATTGCTTTTTCACTTCCGGGTTGGCCTACAAAAATACATCTCTGCACCACTCAATAGTTGTGACCTGGCACACCTGAACCTGAATGTGTTCTGGCTCCACACCCCTGACACTTTTATGTCATTCTGATATCGATGCATACACACTTTTTCTTAGTTCTGCCGCTAACAAAAATGTAAATAAAAAACACATACACACCAACACTCACAGGCAATGCCATCCTATCAAGAGTATACCGTTACCCCTAATATAAGGACTACAATTCTTCACATGTATTAATTCTGCTGCTAGTAGCATTACCATTTATCTACATTAAAAGCTTAAAGCTTATAGACATTTGCATCAGTATAGGACATAATACTACAGTGTATTACGTGTCAGCATTTCATTTGTGATAACTGATCTAGAGTCAAGGATGGTGTGCAAACCGCTCCTCTAGTGAAGTTTAATCCACGATCTGGGAAAAATCAATATTTGATCTATAGTTAAATTGGATATAAAGAAGGCATTACAGAATGGCCTCAATGACGGTTACCGATGCAAGAAAAATTAAGGAATGTGTCACCACTAACACTTTTATATGGAATCAGCTAAGCTAAAAATAAAAAGCGTTTAGTCAATGCCTCGCTACCTAACATCACAATCTTGTGCTACTCATGGTAAATAAATGGTACTGAAAGCACAACAACAATCTAGAAATTAACCACAAGTAAAACAGGAGTTTTGGCAGATTTTTTTGAGAAAATGTGAAAAATCCCTGCATTTGTGTACGTGTTATTGATAGGGTTGGGTTTATTTTCTCGATTTTAAATCTGCTTAATGTTCCCGTTCTCATCGAATCCTGAGTTAGGAAAAGAAACAAACAATATGTTTCTTTTCATAATCTCTGCCTTAAACATGTTATGAAGGACAAATTATTTAGTGATGGTTTTTGGTTAAAAAGCAGAAAAGCGGTGCCATTTTAAATGTTTTTTTAATTAGCTTTCTGAGAAATTAAAGCCTAATTAATTATACTAGGCAATGTGAGCAGGACTGCATTATGGCTTCTTTTTTTTAAAGATGTTTTGCATCAATGTGATGAAGTTCTTTGATCTGCCCTGTAATACTTTTGAGTAGAATAGCCCAAAACATCCCCATCTGGTCTTTTAACGCTAAAAATATGTCATTCAATTTCACGATACATGCCATGAAAAAGCATGTTCCCTTGCATGTTGTTTTATGTTCATGCAGAGATTAGAGGTCATTGCATCGTGACTGTCTTTAGTGAAGCCGTTTTGAAAGCTAGCCCAAAATGTAAACAAACTTTCAGGAGACGATAAGTGGAATCAAAAAGCACATTTCTTACAAAAACCCATTTCTTAAAGATTTTGAGCGTTTCTCTGTACCCAACCCTAGTTACATTAGGGGATAGTGGTCACATGACTCGTTTGTAGACAGAGGGATGAAGCTGCTCCCCCTCACTTTCAAGTTCTGTGTATGTGTGTATGTTTTTGAGTACAACACAAAAATGCTTAACCCTAACCAGTGGACTGATTGTAGCTGGTTAACTTGAAACCGCCCGACCTTCTGTGCTCCTGTAGAACGCCCCCCCACAACCCAAACCACCCTAATGGTACGCGGCCGGGTTGGGAGAGGGGGATGCGCCCTTGTTGCGTCCCAACATGGAGGGCTGGAAGTAAGGGTGGCGGCGGGCGTGCTTGATCAGGTGGTCGCTGCGCATGAAGCGCTTATCGCAGAGGGGGCACAGGAAGCGCTTCTCCCCGGTGTGGGTGCGGGTGTGGCGGGCGAGCTCGTCAGAGCGGGCAAACTTCTTCTCGCAGTCGGGCCAGGTGCAGGGGAAGGGCCGCTCACCTGCAGCAAGGAGAGAGAGGACCATTTAACACCATACACCATTTACCATATCTGTCAAGCTGCGTTCACATGATACGCGGTAAAACAACTCTGCCACCGTGGACCGCTCTTAATTGTCACCAAACTTTGAGCTTGTTTACCGCATGACCTTTTGCAGTGCAACCAATCAGATGATCACTGAATTAAGTGACGCAACTTAGCAGGGGACGTAACCATAGAAACAAATCTTTTCACCGCAAGGCTCTGAATGCAGCTTAGGTCTACAGCATGCAGTTTTTTGATGATTAAAATATGTTACCAACACAAGACTATATATCGATTAACTTTGTTATCTATAAAATGTCGATCAATGCTAACCCTACGCCCAAATTGACCGCCTCAAATGTCTTGTTTTGTCAACAACTCAAAAGATATTTAGTATACTGTCAAAGAGTAGTATAGAAACGAGCAAATGTTGTTGTTTCAAAAGCTGAATTTAGAGAAATTGTTTATCACTCAAATAGATTTGATCAATGTCTGTGGTATTTGACTATTGTTTTTTTTGTTAACCACTCATCAGTTAATCGTTGCAACTCCAAGCCCAACTCACCAGTTCTGCATTGCATTGGTTAAATAGCAAATATGTCTTTTTTTCTATTATTGTTTAATTTGCACATGGTACCCGATGAATTGTCAATCAAATGTCTTAAAGTTAGTGAAAATGCACTTTGATGTCTTGAAAAATCTGACTGAAAAAAACACAGAATACAAATAAAGGATGTTTGGTATTTTGCTAAAGGTAACAGATGTTCGGCCCCTTTTTGTTATTTCAACATACCTTAAAAAAAGGGCATTTTGACAAATTGATCTTATGCAGTGTGCAAGCAGTTGACAGTACAAAGAAAATAGAATAGGTTTGCATAGATTTTTCATCAATCCATAAATTAACAAATAGAATATTGGTAGAAAATGAAGTAGTTACTGAGCTACTGCTGTACTTATTTTCTATATCTCTGAATTGATTGTTCGGTGCATAACATAGTGAACAATGTTGATCCCAGTTTCTAAAAGTCTTGTGTGGTTGGTTCTAATCCCAAAGATATTCACTGTAACATGATATAAACCAGAGAAAGATCTCAACATAGTTAAATATGTGACAAAACATATCTGGGCTTTTAGATGGTCCAGATTAGTGTTCCTAAGCTACTACTAGCCTTAATCTCCTGCAGGCAACATTAGCAACACCGGGATAAACGAGTGGGATGCTCGGAGCCATTTTCAAGATCACAAAGCCTGGCCACGTTGTTGTTGCAGAACTCTTTGTGGGCGTTCCCACCGCAGTTTCTTTCAGCCGTTTCCTGTGCTTAATCCGTGTGCGCCTGCTCAGTGACCCTGAACACACCGATTCCCCTCATTTTGTGAAAAATCACAGGCACGTTAATAACTCTGCATTAGGGATCAGATTTCATTCTGGCTGCTGGATATATTTCCAACTAAACCTAGCTTTGTATATCATGTTAATACACCGCGAGAAATGACCAAATGCATTGCAAAGAGAGGCGCAACTACACATACAGTGTTCTCCCTCACCAGAAATAAATAATAATGTGTTTAATCAGGCACATCCATTATCGGGAGGCTCATCCATTATCGGGAGGCTTATCCATTATCGGTCGCACCCCTTGCAGCTTTTCTAAGAATGCTTTATCAACAACTTCTCCGAGAGTAAAATCAATTTTAGTAATCAGCAGACGTGAGGAAGAGAAGGTGATGCAAACAGTAACAACTTAGCAGCCCAAACACCATAACTTGCTGCTGCCATCAACAGGAGAGTCCATGTCCGACTATGAACTCTCTACACTCGACGTTAAGGTTTCGTCTTACGTTCATTTCATATGCAAATGCAGTCGGGAGGAAGACTTTCGTCACCGGTTTTAACGTCCAGCCCAGTTCTTTTGTTAGTTTACTTCTTTGTCAGTCTCTGAGGGGAGTTTTCTGTCTTTCCCTCTTTGTTTGGCCACGTTATTGTACCAAGTCAGGGAAAACATTTACCACCGCAGAGCTACTATTAGCTAATCCGATAAGGGGCACTTCCCCTGGTTAAAACACTATGGGAGTACATGTCACCGCCAAAGCAGAAGTTATGGACACACTTTATTTCCAGCTGTACACAACATGAAGTGCTGATACTACAAACTGTTGTTGTCCTCTTACCTGTGTGTGTCCGGATGTGTGCCTTCAGGTGGGAGGATTTACCGTAAACTCTGTCGCATCCTTCAAAAGTGCACTGGTGTCGCTTCACTGGGGACCGCGGGGCCCCCACGCCTACTCCCCCCCTCAGCTGCTGTCCGGGCACCGGGGTGGCGGAGGGGGTCATGGTAGGGGTGGTCGGGTCCGACAACGTGGTGTAGCCGCTCTCCCCTCCACACGAGGAGTTGCTGCTCTCAGAGTAGGCCGACATGGGGCGGAACTTGACGTGCAGGTCGGTGAGGATCCCGGCCACCGCCATCATGTTGGCCCCCTCCAGCCTCAGAGTCTCCCGCACTTCCCTGTCCTCGTTCGAAACGTCGGGCTCCCCGGGGAGCAGGCCCACGGTGGTCGGCTGGCTGGCGGGGGCGACCGGGGTGGGTCTGTGCAAGACAGGACCGCTGGATATCGATACCAGACACTCGGCAGCGAAATAATCAGACGAAGCAGTCAACGACATTGTTATCTGCCTCGTTTTGTTGGCTTTATCTAGAAAAAAGTAACGAAACGAATCCGCCAGGAGGGGCTAACGGTAGTCTGAGCCTGACCTCGTTTTCATCAAACTCGACGAACCAACCGTTTCCAGCCGAGCCCTGTAACTGCCATACAGTGTGTCAGTGGTCTGAAAATGGCTTATTTAACTAAAGAAGAGGCACAATTGAGAATAATAATGTGCTAAAACCTTGCCAATAATTCAAGCCAAACACTCGTGCCCCTCACCGTTGACGGTTCATTGTGTCTGAGCCTCCGAGAAGCCGGTCAAACCTACGCCCCCTAGATGCGTTTAGGGCCTATCGGATAAATGGGTTCTGGGGGTGTTCTAGGTTAACAATCTCTAAAAATGCCGCCCTTTTTGTTTTATTTTGTCACTTTAACTACTTCAGTATCGTATCTATAATTGAAACACAGTATTTATACATAAACTCCATATATCAAATCAGAAAGGACAATATTTAATACAAACTATGAATATAGCATCTAGGTATGTTATGTTTTATAAATAACCACAAAGTCCCAAGCATAATGCTTTTAAATGACCATAATAGTGCATAATTTACATACTGAACGTAATAAAATGCGCTATTTCTATGATTTCAGGACTCTAAAAGTTGGGGTGAAACCGGGTTAACGGTATTTTTTAAGAGACATTTCTTATTTACCATTTTTTGCTACGTTATGAACGCATTGTCTACCAGCGGCACGCAGTAACTGACGTCGCAGCACGGGCGTGGACCTCGGCGGCGGGTGCATCGTGGAAAGTAGGTGGCAGGCAGTTTGGGTAATGATGGGGGAAGGAGATGGGGATGAAAGGCGCGATGGGTAATTTAGTTGGAGCCCACCCGAAAGGCTGAAGAGCAGGACTGAGTAGTGCAGGGCTTCTTTTTTTTTTACACCTTCCAGGCACATTTAGTTACATGAAGGACTCTCTGTATACACTTTTCCAACAGTTTTTATCCATAAAACCCAGACACTAGATGTCCCTCTTCCCTGACGCTCACCTCAGCTGTGTGTAGAGAGAAGTTTATGAATCAGCTTTAATAGATTAGAGTCCACACTGGTTGTGTGGTTTATTGATTATGGTCATAATGACAATGTGTATGTGTTTAACTGTGTTTCCTGAACTATTAATCTAATTTACAATAGCAATAACACTTTGGTCATTATTATAACTCCAGGTTGAGCTCTGTCATGCTTTACTATTGTACTATAATTAGGATATATACCTGCAGACAAATATGTTTTACATTGTATATTATGATGCCATCTTTCAAACTGAACAATGCAATACATTGAATTTGATCTCACTGTATGTCATTCCATGTTTTTTTGGGGGGGGTTCTTTCTGAGGTCCACCCAAGTGATTGGCTCGGAGTGTGTTTGTAGCTCCAGTTGGGAAGGTGTTTCCTGATTGGTCGCTGTGAGCACCATGGGTCACTGTGGAAGCACACTACAAGCCTGGTCATTCAGTGGTGGGAACAGTGCTTGGTTTTCATCCCACTTACATGTGGAGGAGGCTTGGAGGAAGCCAAACCTGAAGTTACTACAGGGGTTGCTATGGCTATGTTCTTGTTACCACTCAGTTGTCTGCATCTTCTTTTTCTGCTGCTACACAGTGAGTTGTGTCTTTTGTTGTGTGATATATTCCTTCATGGTTTGCAATTGAATTTTCCATTAAAGGCAGAGTTGACTTGACTAGGAGTCGAGATAACCTGAGGGTTAAATATAGAGGTTTGGTGAGTTTTCTATACGAAAAGTTGTTGTTTTTTGTCATTATGTTTATGGTTTTTTGACCTGATTTTCCATGCAGTAGGTGATTGCTTTCGGACGGAACCAAGTCTCTGTGATTCAAGTTGTGCTGGTGAGAAACCAGTTTGTTGCTTATGTCATACAATGTATGCTCACTGAAAAATACTTAAATGATAAGATTTGACATAAACATTTTCATACCACAAGATTTGCCTCAATTAAAACACTCACATTCTTTAAATCTTATTATTTCATGTCTTTAGGGTCTCCTACCCCCGACTTGTCCTATCAGAGAGGGGTCAGGTATACTTACAGGTATAGCACGACAATTACTACAACCCTTCATGGCTCCAGTGCTGGAAGGAATGGACTGGCTTTGGACTGTGTGGTTGATATCGACGTGGTTTCCAAGTGTCACCTAATGATGCAGGTCAGCTTTCATAGAAGTGTTAGTGGGAATAAAAAAGAAATGCAAAAACTCATTCATTTGTGCACTTGCAGATCAGGAATCCACAGATAAAGCGACTTTCCCCTCAGAAGGAACACTCTGTGCAACGCTTAAAGAGCTTGAGGTAAAACTTTATGTGTTTTTATAAGTAAATGCGCTCTATTTTGCATGTCTGTCCTCATTGTGCAGCATTCAAAGTCCAGATCGTTTTGGAATGCCACAACTGTTTTTCCTATGAATGTGATACTCTGTTCCGATGCTTCACTTGTCTGTGTTTTGGGGTCCCCGGGGGGCTCATCTGCTGTTTTTGTTTCTCAGAGATTCGCTGGAGAGAACGCGCCTCAAGTTCTCCCTCCATGGGGGAAAGGTCACGGCCCTCTGTCTCCAGGAGGGGGAGCAGGTGTGGGCCCTCAACATTAAAAGGGCTCTACTGAGTATGCTCCAGACCTCCCGCATGGCCTCCAAACAGGAATTAGTAAAAGAGGTGAGGGTTAATGAGGGCTCTGTTCTGTGTATGCAGCAGCTCCTCTGTCTTTATGGACATTTCAAAATAACTACTTCTAGTTCGAAAACATCCCCTCTACTCCTGCAACAAACAAGAACCGTCATTAACACCACCTTGCCATAATGTAGTGCACTCACATGGTAATTATCTGACTTTTCTCTAATCCCTCTTCCCAGACTGATGTGTATGGGACGTGCAGCAGCAAGTATGAGAGGAGAGGAGCTGTACTGCTGAAGAGCAGGGATCTAAAACAGTGCCAACAGGCCAGACTGGCACACTTCTGGCCCCATTCAGTAGCTTTAACTGAAGATACTGTGAGTTTACCACTCTTCTTTTTTTATAAAGACACTGTTGAAACTGAGGCATTTTAAAGGGGCCCAATTATGCTAATTTACATATTCTGTACATTAATGTAAAGCATAATGCCTCTGATGTGGCTAAGGGTCAGTGTCAGTGGGGGTCCATGTGCCTTGTTAATGTTGATAGGGGCAGTCAGGACGTTAAGGGCCGAGCCCAGACCACATTGGCAATTTTTTTTGCAAACAAAAACAAGCTCTGATTCTATTTTAAAGGATTTTATTGCACTCCATCCTTGCTAGTACTTACAAAACCCTAGCTTTGGCCCATTATACTTGTTGATTCCTTTTTCTTATCTTTGGTATCTGAGTTCAAGGAACGTGGAAGTTGAAAGAGAGTGATGACGCTGCTTCACACTTTTCTGCACAACCCTAACCCTGAGCCCTCTGTCATCAAAATAACATCAGTAATGTGGTTCAACTGTTGCATTACAGTTCTTCTTTCATGATGCAAGCTTTGTTTTCTTTCTTTGCTAGTCAGTGCAATCAGAATTGAACTGTATTCAGAAGCATGGATCTACAGTGATGGAAGAGGTCAACTGCACTGAAGTTGTTTCTATGGCAACATGGTCCGGGACTGCAGGGTTGGTTAAGACAAAAACAGTGTCGACCCTGCTGCTGCTCAGAGCCCAGCCAGGGACCCCATCAGGAGCAGGTCAGGAGGAGTGCTTACAACTTAGCAACTGTTTTATCGACAAGTATCCTGATGCCTATTCTCCTCAATGCAGATTCCGTAGGTCTTGGTGTTCTGACTGATCTGCAGTTTGAGGACGAGGGGGCTGCAAGGCAAGGAAAAGCCAGAGCGTCAACACCTCAGCAAGCCAGCCAAACTGTTCGGATGTTATGTAGCCTCACCTCAGACCCACAACTGGTAGGACTCAACAAATTCAATTTTCCTTTGAACTGTATTCAAGAAATGATTATTTTATGTTTTAGTTTGCATAATTACACTTACAGCGGTCCTTTTCAACTGATGATAGAAACCACTTGTAGAGTACGTCCTACCCTAATCTCTATAAACATAATTTGCATGAAGAATCTGTAATCAACAGGACAAGGCTTTGGCATCGGGAGCTTTCTGGTTTCCGTTTGTAGTCCTTGTACTATTGACCAATCATGTTTGCGCATGCTTGGTTGAATGCAGGTAAACAGTCCGTGTAGAGAGCAAAATAGGCAGAAAGTATTGGCTGAAAAGCAATTTAGGAAACCCATCCGTTATCGTCTGACGATGATTATGTTTTTGACTACATTAACATTAGCTAATAAACTGGCTACTTTTGAAACAAAATGGTCATAGACGTCGTTGTCTCGCTACTCCAACTCCATTCCGGCCTCTCAAAAGGCTAAAGGACTGTAAACAATGAGTGTCACAAGAAAGAGGGTTCTGCAGGGTTCCGTCACCTGATCCCATTGGTCCTAAAAATCTGTTTTCCAATTGACTTACATTGATTTAGAGACCTCTATAAATAATTGGATAACATTTTTTATTTTTATTTGATTGATTCGGACTGATGAAGTTTGAAAGTCTAGATTATGTGCACAGTTAAATTGTTTATCACCATTTAAGTTAGCGTAGTTCTAAACCATAATTTTAGAATGCTTGCTCCATGGGCTCATTGATGCGGAATTCTGGGTGTTTTTACTTTCAGATGTCCAACCAGAACTTTGATTGAAATGAGCAGGGCTCTACCTCAAATGCTGTATCCAGTTCTCTTTACACATATCAATGCGTCAGAACAAGATGCCAATGGGTTACAAGATTGCCCGTACCCTCCCAGAATGTTGGCTAGCCTAAGTAAGAGGATTGACTTCCCCCAATACTTTACTGTGAATCATTTAAATGATTCCCATACACAGGAGGTCAGTCAAACATAATCTGGCAGCCCTCATCATAATTTGTTTACATGGGATGTGTTTAAAAATAGCTGTCAGACCGAGAGCCTGATATAAAAGCTGTGTGGGATAAAAAGTGCATTCTGTAGGAAGCCATTGATTCTGGTTGAGCAGGAATAGTTTTGAAAAAATGGAGAGTAGATTTAATTGATTTTAGGATATCAAAAATCTAAGTCTATATGTGTTTGGTGTTTGCTCTCAGCTATCGCAAGAGTTCCTTGAACTGGCTTTCCAGCTAAGAGATCTGACACTTGCTCAATTGAAGACACTTTGGCAAGAAGCGTCTTTCAAGTGCCTCAACGACTGGTCAGTATTTCCTTTGTGTTATATAATAACATACAGTATGTTATGTTGAGTCATTCAGTTATGAATCAATGTCTATACATGGGAGTTTAACTTGGACATTTCCACACTTGTTATAGAGAAAAACATTTATTGTGTTACCAGTACATTTGATTTAAGCTGAAGGGACTTTTGTATATCGGTTACCATTAGAAAATACACAGCCTCTGGCAAAATATGTTAACAAAAGACAGTGTGTGGGATAGTAACTAACTCAATCGGAGACTACTGTGATACGGATGACTTACAGAAAACCTTCTTAGTGATGCAGAATATAGCAAACTGACATTTTGACTTAAGATACAAAATCTTGTTTCAAGACTAACTTCATAATCATAAAATATCAGCTATGGATTACTCTGCATATATTCCAGTTTAAATTGAGACTAAACCTTTCTTTGGTCTAAGGTCAATGGTTCAGCCACCACAAAGGCCACTAGAGATCATGTGATGGGATCACACCAGCCGAAATGCCAAATCGGGCCATAGGTGTAACGTTTGGGGGGGGGGTACTTCCTATCCCTGAATTCTGGGTTCCCCTTGCCCAACAAATCTTTTAAACTCAACTACACAGCTGTAGGTTTTGTGATTGGCATGGTTGTGAAAACGAAAAACAATAGGCCTACCAGTGCCCCTGTTACAGCTTAGCCAGTTTTGCGGTTTGTAAAACCGATTGCTTGCCAGTAATGTAATTTTCTACTAAAGTCATGAGTCAGTGGTCAATGACGGAATAAAACAGTAAATAGTCAAAGACCAAACACAAGATCCCCCAAAGCACATGTGTGATTATTGAAAAAGCAACAGTCCCATTTCGGTAAAGTCCGGCTGACCTGTTTTTTGTGATTTCTTGTTCATGGTATGACTAACTGACACAGCTAAATGAGATGAAGGCAACATTAACAAATATAGTACAACAGTGAAGATTAATACCTACCCTCCTGTCTGTATATGAAGCTACAAGCTAGCCGTCGGTTAGCCTAGCTGCTAGCATAAACACTGGAAACAGCAGTCATTTCTTTAATACCACATTATGATACAGCAGAGGTTGATACTGATGCTCATTAACTGGTTGGACAGGCAGCCTCTGTTGGATGCATTACCAGCCTGTGGATCTGAACACTGCGTCGTACTGCTGACCGACCTGATGAGGAGCAAAGAGCTGGAGGAGGAGCAGGCATACGCTTTTGTAACCACCATGGCCCTCATCCCTCATCCATCGCCACAGATCATCGAGTCCATCAATGTAGGAACCTCTATGTGACATTAATGAAGAACTAAATATCTCATCAATTAAATGAAATAATTTCTGTATTGAGGCTTGTCTTCTATCTGTGTTAGGCCTTACTGCAGGTCCAAGAGCTGCGTTCAAAGGCACTGCTTGCTGGATCCTCTCTTGTGTATCAACTGTGCCAAAAGTCTCAAGCCTCCTGTAGTGAACTTCCTCAGGTGCAGTCCTTCATACAGACGCTTGAGGAAACCCTGAAGGAGGGCTGCGAGGAAGAACAACCCACTCAAGCTAAGGTGCTTTCATACAGACACGCACACTAGCTGCATTAGCATATATTCACCTGACTAAACCTGTTGATTTGAACAATTGTACATGAACAATGGCTAATATAAATGTATGTTTTCACCCCAACAGTTTTATTATGCACTGAAATCTGTGGGAAACATTGGTCTGTCTGCTCCAACCTTTATTCCATTGCTAAAATGCTACATGCTAAGCCCCTCAACTGCACTTGAGCTGAGACTAGCTGCCATCCAAGCCTTCAGACGCTTTCCCTGCTCAGCTGATGTGAGTTGATTACATTATCTTTACAGCTTTGTTGCCTTTTTATGACAGAGGACAGTTAAAGATTGGGTAGAAGAAAACATTTGGTGTGAGGAAAATGACTCAATGCCAGAATTGAATACATTACATTACATTACATTACATTACATTGCATTTAGCTGACGCTTTTATCCAAAGCGACTTACAATAAGTACATTCGACCAGGAAGACACAACCTTGAAGAAAACAGAATCATATAAGTACATCAGGTTTCATAGAGCCAAACATTTCAAGTGCTACTCAACTGGCTTTAGGTAAGCCAGTCCTTTATTAGTATAAAAGTGCTTCGTTAATAGTTCTATCGCTCGAAGTGGAGTCGAAAGAGATGAGTTTTCAGTTTGCGCCGGAAGATATGCAAGCTATCTGCCGTCCTGATGTCAATGGGGAGCTCATTCCACCATCTTGGAGCCAGGACAGCAAACCCACGTGTTTTCGCCGATGGGAACTTGGGTCCCCCTCGCAGCGAGGGCGCAACGAGTCGTTTGGCTGATGCAAAGCATAGTGCACGCGCTGGGGTGTACGGTTTAACCATGTCCTGGATGTAGGAAGGGCCAGATCCATTCGCAGCATGGTATGCAAGTACCAGTGTCTTGAAGTGGATTCTAGCAGTTACCGGAAGCCAGTGAAGGGAGCGGAGGAGCGGAGTGGTGTGGGAGAATTTAGGAAGGTTGAAGACCAGACGAGCCGCTGCATTCTGGATGAGCTGCAGAGGTCGGATGGCACATGCAGGTAGACCAGCCAGGAGGGAGTTGCAGTAGTCTAGGCGTGAGATGACGAGAGCCTGGACCAGAACCTGAGTCGCTTTCTGAGTCAGCTGGGGACGCATCTTCCTGATGTTGTAAAGTGTGTATCTGCAGCAACGGGTTGTAGCAGCGATGTTTGCAGTGAAGGACAGGTTGTTATCTAGGGTCACACCCAGATTCCTTGCAGTCTGAGTCGGGGAAACAACTGAGGTGCCGATGTTGATTGTTAGGTCAAGAGTGGGACAATCTTTTCCCGGGAGGAAGAACAGCTCAGTCTTGTCAAGGTTGAGCTTGAGGTGGTGAGCAGACATCCACTGAGAGATGTCAGCTAGACAAGCAGAGATGCGTGCAACGACCTGGGTCTCTGAGCGGGGAAAGGACAGAATTAATTGGGTGTCATCAGCGTAGCAGTGGTAAGAAAAACCATGCGGGCTAATGACTGATCCAAGTTATCCAAGAATACAAGTTTAGTGTACCTGTTAGGCTAACACAGTGCTCCTGATGTGAGTTGATTCTAATTAATACCTACATTTTTACTGAAATCATTCACTTACATTTGTGAAAATAGGTAACTTTATGATAACTGTCCTTTTTCAATAGAAGGTTCATTTACTCGTATTTCAAATATAATATCTCTTCATATCAAAGAGGCTAACTGTCTAATTGATTCATGATGAGTAGAGGTGGAGGTGAAGAGGTGCTGAGCCGTCTAACATGAGTGAGTGACAGCAGTTTCCTTCCTTCAGAGGTCTGTGCTGTTGCAGCTGTACCGTTCCTCCCAGGAGGATCCCGAGGTCAGAATCGCTGCATACCAGCAGCTCATGCACTGCCCCGACCAGGACGTGTTTGAAGTGGTCAAGACCACGCTGAGGAACGAGACCTCCAGCCAAGGTCTGATTCAAACCTTTGTGGTTGGTAGATAGATGTGTTTCCTCCTGAAAAAGGTTTAGCAATTAAAATATTAATAAACAATGTCAGCTTTCATTGTCAAACAGATGAAGTATTCATTATAGATTAGAAGCCACTTTATTTTCTGTATGTTTTTAGTTGATCTTGCTAACAAGACTTCATTTTTTTTTAAACATAGATGATGATTTGTTCTAATAATTACCGAACATTGTCTGCTGGCATGTTTCCCCAAATTACTAAGAATGTGTATATAAAATGAATCTTGTTTACTTTAATTCCAACTCTATTCTGTCTAGACATCAGTATGACTTAAAGTCCACTAGGGTACATGGCTTTGCTTTCTCTGACAGATTAAATCTCACTATAACTTGATCAAAAACTATTTATTTGTTGTAAAATGTTGTGTAGGTGAATAACAACTTTTACAGTGTTAACTGCAGAAGTATGTTTTCTCAACACAGCAATCGTATGGCTAGGATATTATTTGTGTAATACATAACATTGTTAAAAAGGTTGCATTGCCATTAAAGCAAAGCCCAATTACAGTATGGTGTACCCCAGGGGTCTATTCCTGTGTTTCTTTAATTCCTCATTTATATAAATGAATGACCCAATGTATCCAAATGACTTACTCCAATAATTTTAAGTAGTAATTTATGAAGCTAACTCTGGTTTATCTACTTATGCAAAGTGGTTAAATGCAAACAAAATTGAACTTCAGAATTAGAATTGGCAAGTTTCATTATGCCTCATGTCTAAGCAATTAAAACCCTTTTTTCCTTTTTACAATGAAACATTTATGAGAACAAAAAATCACACATTTCTGAAAAAAGCTTGAACATCTGAGATTATAGCGTCCTATTTGCGAGGAAGTACAAAGAAATGATCTGAGATTTAATTCACAAATTTGCGAGATATCTTTCTGGGTTAAAGTAACAATGAATGGTAAAGGGGCAAAACTAAAAGTGGGATATTCCTTTTTAGAACTTTCTCATCTTGATGGACATTAATAACTGTTTCTCTTCTGCTTCTCCAGTGGGCTCATATGTGTGGAGTCACCTGACTAATGTCCTGAGGAGCGAGGACCCCATGAAGCAGCCCCTAATCGAGTCACTGCCTGATGACATTATCAGCAGAGACTTTGAGGCTGAGTTTTTGAAATACTCTTTTTATTCAGACTACACTATTTCATCAGGTAAAGATGGCGTCCCTTCAGTTTCAAATTCCAGATAAACAATACAAGATCAACTTAATGTTACATGACTAATTCCTTTCAGGCATGGGGATTACAAATGTGGAAACCTCTTTGGTTTTCTCTCCCAAATCGTTTCTACCAAGATCTGCCTCTGCCAACCTGACACTGTATTTACATGGCAGAGCCCACAACCTTCTGGAAGTGAGTTTGATGTCCACTTGAATTCTAAAACTAAATTAAAGTCCTACAAAATGTACTTAAACCCATGTATTTATTTCCCAACTTAGGTGGACCTTCACGTTGAAAACGCTGAACCTCTTTTGAGGAACTTTTTCGGTCAGCAGAACTCAGATAGAGAGTCCCAGGCTCAAAGTCCAAAGTCGCAGTCCAAAGACGCATCAAGAAGAAGAACAGAGGATGGACGTAGTGCAGAAAAAGAACCGTGTTTATCTGACACCAGCAGTTATCTGAGCCAGGCCAGGGCCATGGTGAGGTCACTGTGATTGCTGAAGGCCAGTTATCTCTACTTTATTAAGAGGAGTTAAGGCAGCAGGATTAACACCAAGCCTGGTCAAGAGGGATACACAGACGTGAACATGTGGGGAGGTTTTTGCAGCAGACTTTTGGCCATTTATATTGCATTTTAGATTTAAAACTGATATCTTGAATGTACATTTGTAAAATACTTGAAGTAAATGCCTAAATTAGGGCTGCAGCTCACAACTATTTTTTACTATTGATTCATTTACAGGTTATTTTCTTGATTAATGTTTCATTGACCCATGAGATTAGAAAATAAAAATGACCTAAGTTCCTGAATTTGCATCTAAGTTATTTAGTTACAAGAAATGAAGAACAAGAAAAATGCAAGCATCAATACTCACATTTAAGAAGCCACAATCATCAAATCCTTAGTTGGCGATTAATTCTCTGCCAAACAAATAACTGACTACTTGTTTCAGCTCTCTTGAAACAAAAGTAATTTTAGAGGCTGTTCATAAATGTGTCTTTTCCAGTTGTTTGGGAGGAGGAGATCAGAGGAGAACAGGCCCCGGTGCTGGGTCGGTGTGAAGGTCTTTGGCAATGAGCTCAGCGTGTTCTCATGTGAAGATCTCTACAACCAACTGGACCATCTGTCGCTGAGCGTGGCCGGACTGGCTGTCAAACTGCTCAAGGTATACTCACAGCAGCTACTCTTGAATATGTTTTAATATATTTTTTAAGATATGGCACAAGAGAAAAGGAAAATGTCAGTTTAACAATGACATAAAATGATACATTAAATTAAGATTATGTTTATCTCAATGGATCAAAAGGACAAGAAGGTATCCTTTCTGCATTTTAAATTTGTATGCAAACTATTCAAAGTAAAAAAAAAAAAAATAGAGAAAATCCCAATAGAGAAAAAAACACAACAAAAGAAAGAATAAAAAAAAAACGAAAGTAGAATGGCACCCAGAGAGCCCAGACTTCCACCAAGGCTAATGGTGCGTTTATGTGCTCCTTGGATGGTCCCGTTTTTGAATTTCGAGGTGTGTATTCCGAATTCAGTGTGTGATGAGCTTTAAATTGTAATATTGAAACAACATGGTGTGTAAAAAAATTATTTAGATTTATATCTTATAAGATTTTGTCTCACCGAATATCTTATTTTTAAGTAATAGAGTTTTTTTGCGGAGTTCCAATGAAGAAGATTGTGTGTGCGTGTCTCTAGTAAGGAAGTGAACGCTAGAATATCTCATTGCTTCGAGTTGTAATGTTTGGAGTCTTCTGCAAACCTAAATGTTGCAATATAGGGAAACACATTAACAGTTATCAACAGTGTTTTTGCTATATTATCGCAGTAGTTCTGCCAAAAGCAGGATAGTAATGGACAAGAATACCACAAATGGGTTGAGATTGCAAAATAAAACCTGGATACTTCTATGATAATCAAGCTTTGGATTGCTTTGAACTACAGTGGGGCAAAAAAGTATTTAGTCAGCCACTAATTGTGCAAGTTCTCCCACTTAAAAAGATGAGAGAGGCCTGTAATTTTCATCCTAGGTACACTTCAACTATGAGAGACAGAATGGGGGGAAAGAATCCAGGAAATCACATTGTAGGATTTGTAATGAATTAATTGGTAAATTCCTCGGTAAAATAAGTATTTGGTCACCTACAAACTCCACTATGGCCAAGACCAAAGAGCTGTCAAAGGACACCAGAAACAAAATTGTAGACCTGCACCAGGCTGGGAAGACTGAATCTGCAATAGGTAAGCAGCTTGGTGTGAAGAAATCAACTGTGGGAGCAATTATTAGAAAATGGAAGACATACAAGACCACTGATAATCTCCCTCGATCTGGGGCTCCACGCAAGATCTCACCCCGTGGGGTCAAAATTATCACAAGAACGGTGAGCAAAAATCCCAGAACCACACGGGGGGACCTAGTCAATGACCTGCAGAGAGCTGGGACCAAAGTAACAAAGGCTACCATCAGTAACACACTACGCCGCCAGGGACTCAAATCCTGCAGTGCCAGACGTGTCCCCCTGCTTAAGCCAGTACATGTCCAGGCCCGTCTGAAGTTTGCTAGAGAGCATTTAGATGATCCAGAAGAGGATTGGGAGAATGTCATATGGTCAGATGAAACCAAAATAGAACTTTTTGGTAAAAACTCAACAAGACGTGTTTGGAGGAGAAAGAATGCTGAGTTGCATCCAAAGAACACCATACCTACTGTGAAACATGGGGGTGGAAACATCATGCTTTGGGGCTGTTTTTCTGCAAAGGGACCAGGACGACTGATCCGTGTAAAGGAAAGAATGAATGGGACCATGTATCGTGAGATTTTGAGTGACAACCTCCTTCCATCAGCAAGGGCATTGAAGATGAAACGTGGCTGGGTCTTTCAGCATGACAATGATCCCAAACACACCGCCCGTGCAACGAAGGAGTGGCTTCGTAAGAAGCATTTCAAGGTCCTGGAGTGGCCTAGCCAGTCTCCAGATCTCAACCCCATAGAAAATCTTTGGAGGGAGTTGAAAGTCTGTGTTGCCCAGCGACAGCCCCAAAACATCACTGCTCTAGTGGAGATCTGCATGGAGGAATGGGCCAAAATACCGTGTGTGAAAACCTTGTGAAGACTTACAGAAAACGTTTGACCTCTGTCATTGCCAACAAAGGGTATATAACAAAGTATTGAGATGAACTTTTGTTATTGACCAAATACTTATTTTCCACCATAATTTGCAAATAAATTCTTTAAAAATCAATGTGATTTTCTGGATTTTTTTTTTCTCATTTTGTCTCTCATAGTTGAGGTATACCTAGGATGGAAATTACAGGCCTCTCTCATCTTTTTAAGTGGGAGAACATGCACAATTGGTGGCTGACTAAATACTTTTTTGCCCCACTGTATATAACTGTGAGACGTCGTTACCAGTCGTCCTCCAGATTTAACCTCTTAAGCCCCACGGACCCGCCAAAGGGGCCAAAACCACAACATCTGCAAGCAACAGCGTCTGAGGGCTTCTTAGTTAAGATGTAATAAACTATGAATGTTTCATATCCATGTAACGGGAAGAAACTCAGCTAACTGATCTTTTTTCTTTTTTAAACCACAAAGCTAACGCTGATGCAGGGTACTTTTTGTTGTATATGTTGTACTTTGGATTCCTAAAGCTTTTAGTCTACTAACCCATCATCCAAGGGTAGTTCTCATTCATAACACTCCGCAGCGTCATTCAAACACCTCTTCTCGCTTCAGAGCACATCTCGATTTATCAGTAACCGGGCTAGCTTAACGGTCCACAGACTGAACCCAAAGCTAACATTCGGTCGACGGGCGCTTGCCGGTTACTTTTTTGCTTTGCAAGAAGACTGAGCAATATTAACACACCAGTTAATATTGTAATCTGCCTCGCCGTTTCTTTCTGTAGAGCCCGGGAGGCTATCGATAACCCCGGCTCGTGCGGGCATTGTACCCGCTTCACCATTAAGAGCCTCCGCCGACGGTTAGCACGCCAAGCTAGCTTGTCGGGACAGGACCCCCTCATGTCCGCTGATTCGCCGGCCGGCAATCAAGACATTATGGCGTCCGCCTCAGAGATTGAGCCCTGTGCTGTGTCAGACTGGGGCTCAACAACAGCGACAGCCGCTGAACCGGAGCCCCACGTCGTTTCAGGCTGGGACCCGGTGGCGGCAAGCGCCACGAGAGCGGAGCCCCGCGCTGTGTCAAGCTGGGGCTCCCAATTGGACCTCACCATGGTTCCACCCGTGGAGGATGTCCTGGAGTTGAACTATATGGAGGACGAAGAGGATACCTCTGAGTTCCTCCTGTCTGACTCGGACTCGGATGACATCTTCGTTTCATCGGCTCAGGCTGCAAAGCCGGGAGCGATGTCCGCTCCCCCGGGCGAGAGCACACCAGCTTCGCCCGTCCTAAGCATGGACTTGCAGGCCGTGTGTCAACGCGCTCCATCCAGGCTGGACATCCCATGGCCTGAAGTGGCCAAGGAGACCTCCAGATCTCGTTACGAGGGGAAGAACTTGCCCCAAGCAGCGAGGACGAAGAGGCAGCTCCTTCCAGTCTTTCGGGAGATGCTGGACGAGGAGTCGGTCTCGTGGAAAGACCGTCCCTTTATCAACAAGGCCCCAATCCAGGGTGCCTCCTCCCTGGACTGTGACGGTATGGAGAGGATCGGCCTGCTCCGCATGCCGCCCATGGAACCGCTGGTGGCAGCCCACCTCCAACCGAGGCTGGCTTCGACACCGAGCAGGAACCCCATGCTACCGGCAAAGGCAGACCGGTTCCAGTCAGCGATGACCGAACGGGCCTATAAAGCCGCAGCTTTGTCCGCCAGGGCACTCAACGTCTCCTCGCTGCTGACCGCCTACCAGGCGGAGCTCTGCGAAGACATATCGAGCAAACCTGAGCCTGCCGTGTGGGACGAGATCGCAGCGATCACGGACATTTGCCTCCGTGTGCAGCGCTGTGCAGTCCGAGCCACGGGCAAAGCACTGGGAATAATGGTGGTACAGGAGAGAGCCAGGTGGCTCAACCTGACGAACCTTCCAGACCGGGAAAAAGAGGATGTTCTGGACATGCCTATTGTTCCCGAGGGCATATTTGGCTCCGCTCTAGCTTCAATGCAGCTGAGATGCGAGTCAAAAAGGAAGGGAGACGAGGCTCTCCAGCTCTGTCTCCCCCGAAGGGTCCAGCCGCCACCTCCAATGGTCCCGCGGTAGGCCTTCACTCAAGCTGTCTCACGTCCTGCCCGGTTCAAAATACCGAAGCAGCAGAGACCGCAGCCCGTCCCGGGTCCCCAGCCCCGGCACGAGGCAAGAGAGAGCTGGCCAAGAAAATATCCGGTTCCGGCAGCTGCCGCTCAGGCGCAGCCGACCCAGGTTTTCAGCCACCAGGCGAGGAAGAAGAAGCGGGTGGCCTGACAGCCTCCTCTCCTCTCCTCGATGAAGGAGCTGGAAGTTCCCTGTTCCCCAGCTCCAGAGCACGTTCCAGTGTTGGATCCAGTGTTTGTTCCGTGTGTTTTCGGGGTGCCACCATGCCCCCATCTTCCCGCCGCCTCGAGTGATGCCAGAACGTCATCCTCAAGTTCGCGCCATCAGGGCAATGGACTTAACATCGAAGACAGCAAGTTCCGCTGCCTGTTTAAGTCACACAAACACATGTCATCATTGTTGTTTCAAAATAAATCATTTTCCACTGTCGTTTCCAGGCTTGAAGCCAAGGGCGCAGTCAATACAAATGAAAAGAAAAACAATAAACAGTCTGTCGTCTGCCGCTCTTTTGAGAGCGGCTACGGCCTCTCTCAAAAGGCGGACAATAGACGGGATTGTGAAGGCACCACCGCCACGCGCATGCGCAGTGTCGGCCGGGGTTGTCAACCTGGGGTACCACCGTGTTCAGACACTAGAGGGCCCCATAACGCAACAAATAGAGACACTGAGGGCAGACGACAGAGCTGTAACATCTCCGCTCGCTTTGAGAAGCGAAAAGTGGAGGATGCTCACAGATTCTGCTTGGGTTTTCAAGACAGTAACACAGGGCTACAGGCTCCAATTCGCTGTCACCCCCCCTCACTTCTCGGGCATTCTGTATTCACAGGCCCGGGGAGAGTCGGCCCATATTCTAGAGCAAGAGATTTTCTCGCTACTAGAAAAGAAGGCTAT